CCCCGCTTAAAAATTCGACCAAACCCTGCTCGCAGCGCCAATGTAAGAATTGCCGCGTCTGCTTACCTTAGGTTAAGTGCATAACCGCACCGATGCTCTTGGATGGCTCTTTGCTGGCTGTTAGCGTCTGCTTTAAATATCCATTATTCCAAAGAGGGGGATTCTGGGTACTTCCGGTAGATTGTCTAAAGATGGTGTGACTAAATACCTACCGGGGTACTACACTGCCAACCATGGTCATTGTTGACTTTGATGGGTGTAATGTTTTAATAACCGTTAACATGGTGCCAACCATGGTCATTGTTGACTTTGATGGGTGTAATGTTTTAGTAACGGTTCCCATGGTGCCAACCATGGTCATTGTTGACTTGGACTGATTAGTGTGATGTTTTTAATAACCGATCCCATGGTGCCGTGTTGATTTGGACTGATTAGTGTAATGTTTTAATAATCGTTCCCATGGTGCCAACCTAGATCATTGTTGACTTCGACTGATTAGTGTAATGTTTTAATAACCGTCCACATGGTGCCAATCATGGTCATTGTTGACTTGGACTGATTAGTGTGATGTTTTTAATAACCGATCCCATGGTGCCGTGTTGATTTGGACTGATTAGTGTAATGTTTTAATAATCGTTCCCATGGTGCCAACCTTGATCATTGTTGACTTCGACTGATTAGTGTAATGTTTTGATAACCGTTCCCATGGTGCCAACCATGGTCATTGTTGACTTTGACTTGTGGGTGTTGTCTGTCGATCTTAGTTTCAATGGTGTCAAACAAGGACCATATCAATTAATTCTCCGCTTTTGAGAAATATATATTATTTTATTTTATATATTAACTTCTGAAAAATGTTCATTTTGTTTCATCATATTTCGTTTTATTTTTGTTTTCAATGTATAATATTTAATTGATAGATTCTGGCAATAATCCACCACCCACATCAGCACCAATAACAAAACAAGAACGAGGAGGTGAGTTTAATGTTTTTTTCACTATTTTTCTTCATTGAAAGTAAAATGTCTTCTGCAAACACTAGTTTTGTTGATGTTAACACCATACATTGTTGTATTTTCCTAACAAGGTGTTTTATGCAAATTTAATTTCGAAAAAAATGATACCTAAATCTTTACAACTCTCTTTATTTTTTAAATTGTGTTTTCAGTACACTTTTACATTCATTGTTGATGCATCTTAATCAAAATGTAAAATTATTTTTTCATAATCATTACGTTACATGAAACATTACTAGGACTCGAACATTTGATATAGCCTGTAAATAGTGATAAACTAACTCGAACATTTGATATAGCCTGTAAATAGTGATAAACTAACTCGAACATTTGATATAGCCTGTAAATAGTGATAAACTAACTCGAACATTTGATATAGCCTGTAAATAGTGATAAACTAACTCGAACATTTGATATAGCCTGTAAATAGTGATAAACTAACTCGAACATTTGATATAGCCTGTAAATAGTGATAAACTAACAAGAATCAACTTTAGAGTTGGGGCCAGAAAAAAGAATGTTTATTTGCCCTAATCCTACCTACCCTGAAAATATCTGCATACTCAAAATATTTTATTGTCCTGATGTGAAAAAGTTTTGTTGTCCCTCGCGTAACGCTTTGCGGGGTACATGGAAATACCAGGCGTCCGTCCGTCTGATCTTGTTAACGCTCTCACTGTGACACAGGTACATTCTTGCCAGATTTTTATAAAACTTATACTATAGGTTAATATCAGCAATATTTTGGACAAGTTCTATAATTGTGGCCGATCGACTTTTTTTAAAAGAGTTATGCCCCTTGGAAATATTAAATTTATGGAAAATGGCATCTTTAGCGCTCTCACGGGTACAATTTTTTATAAAACTTATAGTATACTATAAGTAATGCCCCTGAAGGTCTGTTTGAAATATTAAGTATACAATAAAAAAAACTTTTTTGTCCCCCGCGCACGCTTTATATTTATAAATTGTTTTAAAGAACAACAAAAAAAGTGTTTTTTTTTTTTAGTTATTACACCTGGATAGATAAAATATGTGCAAAGCGTGGGACATTGGAACTCTGTTCTTTTATTTTTAATCAGATAGGCATGAAGACTAAAAAAAACATCTGACACTCCAATTTCTCTTTTCTGAAAAAAAAAGAAAATGCCTACCTACCTACCCACTGTCTCTACTTTTGGGTAGCCTAAGGGTTTGAGCAAACCAAAATATTTTTAAGTGTGGTCTGATTAATAACATTTCAAGAGAACCAGTTACCTGGAAAGACCAAATAAACCATTGTGGTTTTGAATGAAAATATTCGTTTAAATATATGCTGTCAGTAAAATATTTTAATACATAGGTCAATGGAAATGATTTTTGTGACGTTCCCTGTACGTGCAGACTCAGTAATAATAACATCACCACGTGTATTATACAAGTATAGCCTTTTGAATTGTATGAGGTCGATACAAGGATATATTGACCTGAAAGAGGTATATTGACTGAGGACGAAGTATATATACTTCTGTGGGTCGATATATCCTGTATTGACCTCATACAAAGGCTGCAATTGTTAAATTATTAATTTCAAACCATATTTGTATCAAAATCGTCAGTGCATTATATTCTCTTTTTTTCGATCATTTAATTTTGTTGGAATTTTATAGATATCATATTGTCTCTTTGACAATAACAACATATTAGTTGTTATTTCAATTATTTTTTTTTTAATTTTGTGTACATCTTATGTATTTGAAGATTATTTTTTTTTAATAATTGATCATAAATATACACTTTTTTAAAAAGATAGCATTTCTTGTTTACATTGAAAATGACGTCATATATAAAGTTCCTAACAATTATAATAGGACCAATATCAGATACGTTTCCGTAATTTAGTGACTTTTTTATCAGAAATAATGCTGGAATTTAAAAAAAAAAATGTTTATATATATATAAATATGCTGTTTAATAACGGGATATCATAAGTATTCTAAAGGTTTGCTGAATTCGTCCCCTTTCAAAGGTAACACCTGAGGTATATTGTAACAGCCATTACTATATACATCTCTGAGTTTGCGCTAAGTATAGATATATCGAGATCTCATTTTATCACGGTGTTGTTTACAAAGCGAAAGAAGCACGTCATATTAGAATTAAAAATAATATACAGTTTAGCAATGACGTCACACCCTTGCACCCCATGTTTAATTGGAACATGAAGCGAAAAAAGAGTATATCCTTTGTTTTTCTATTATTATTAGAATGAGTTACTGACTTAGCCGTGTAGACTCATGGGAGTATGGTTTACAATATTGGCCTTCTTTTACTTTAGGGGACTTTACAAATTGTAAAAAAAAAAATGAGGGAACTCATGAAAAATAAGTTTTTTTCTAGTATAATTGCTGTATAAATAGGTTTTAAGGGACTAGTATGTATATAATACAGTTTATAGTATTTTTTTCTTTAAATGTGTCTAAAGGTTGTGGGTCCCTTAAAGTAAAAGAGGGCATTATAGCACTACTTTACTTTAGGGGACCCATATATATTTTATACAGTTTTATAGTATTTGTTTTCTTTTTAAATCTGTCTAAAGATTAAGGGTCCCCTAAAGTAAAAAGAAGGCATTATAGCACTACTTTACTTTAGGGTACCCATATATATATCATACAGTTTTATAGTAATTGGTTCTTTTTAAATATGTCTATAGGTTATAATATGTTACCGAACAATTTATTAAACGTATTTTCATAATTTTTTTTAATAAAAAAAGATGAAAAATATTCTATTATGGACACAGTCCCCTAAAGTCAAATATAGGAATGTGGAGTCCCCTAAAGTAAAAGAAGGCCACAATCTGTACGTTTCCAATTTTGTTTTATTTTTTTTATTTCAGCATGCAAAGAAGGCTGGAGGAGTATGTTCGGTTTCTGTTTCTACGTCTCTGATTTTGCTGATGTAAAATCCCAAAGTGAAGCTAGTGTAAGTATGTTTGTGCTTTTTATGTGTGAATGAAAGAATTGTGAAAAGTTTTATTTTCAGTTCAATTTGATCCGATACATTAAAATTATTATCAAAAATGAAATCAGATTCAGAAGATGTTCTCTCAAGAAAGTCATTTACCCATCTGACAGTGTCACTACTTTCTTAACTAAGAAAGTTATTACCCAGCTTACACAAAATATTTTCGTGATATTATTTACTGGTTATATATACATGATATATGTTTATCAGAAATATTTTCAAAAAAAATATTCTAAAGACATTTTGTTTACATCAGAAATTAGGTGTGAATGATATTTTACCAATAACATTTCATCCCAATGTTTGTTTGCTAATATAAAAACATTTTTTGTTAATATTTTTTTATAATAAATAAATGATAATTTTTTACTGATGTTTTTTAAACGTTTAATAGACAGTTTTATAAATGAGAACAGTTATATTATGTATATGTCGAGGAGATATTTCTTTACAATAATTTCAAACAATATCTGATGGACATTTTTATATTATAATTATAATATATATTTGTAAGATGTGTAAAAGAAATGTTTATAAAACATTTTTGATTAATATCTGCGTAAAGCATAGGTTTGATGTATAATAAAATATCTTTTTGATGTAACAAATTACATCTAAATAATTTTCTTGTCCTAATTAAAATAATAAGCTGGTAATATCTAATGAATATTTTACTAACGTCATAACAATATATTTTTCGATTTTATTTAGAAAATATTAGTTGAAGGCTATTTTATAAACATTTTAACATAATATGTCTTATAGATATTTGTAAGATGTATGACAGAAGTGTTTATCCATGTTATCAAATGTTTGTTAGTAATATTTGAGTGAAGCAAGTGTTTGATATGAAAAAGAAATATTTTTTAGATATCACATATTAACATGAATGTCTCCTCATTTTTATAGAAAAGCTTTAATAATTCCAAAGAGGTTATATGAGATAATCTCCTTGAAAATTTTAACCTTTGATGAAAATTTCAATCATGTATTATTATAACTTTTTTCGTTCAACTTTAATTTATGAAACATAATAAGCAATTATAAACAGAGTGATATTTGATACATCCATTCTGTTAATCAAGCACATTCTGATAAGGTTAACCAGATGTTGGACACATTTCAAATTTAGTTGCTATGGTAATTAAGTTTATAGTTCTGAAATGGGATGGTCACTTTTGAGGTTATTTCCTGTCGTCTATTTGTAACTTCCGAAAGCAGTGATAACAAAGAAAACCAAAAGAGAAAATCACAGTTCAAAGAGAAAGAAACATGTAAGTTGTAATTTAAAAAAATTCGTAATTGACATACCATGTATACGCACTCGACTGAATCTTGTTTCTTGTCCTCTGCAAATCTTTAGCAAAATAAAATCTGTATTTGAATAGTTTGTACACTCATGTTGTAGGAGTAAATATCACAAAAAGCTGAAGACGCTACTTCTTTAAATTATATGTATGCCGTTTTATAATTAAACATTACGAAATCATGAAAAAGTAAACTGCATCAAAAGTTATATTTAAAACAAAATGAAACGGCATGTATATGTGAAAAGGGGGGGGGATGTGAAAAATATATCCCACTTTAGGATATTTCTAAACGGAAAAGTCTATACAAATTGCAGACAGATTCGTGTATGAATTACTTGAAGTAGATTTTCTTTTGAATATATAATTTTACATTCTCATATGAATTTATAGGTCAGGTATTGGAGTACTACAGAAGACAAATTTAATCAGAGTGCAAAAGGAATAGTAGTTAACATTGAAAATATTCTGGCTACAAAATGCGTGGAAATGAAGATGGGACAAAATGCATTCTACCATTTGATAGCCCAGAATGAATTACTTTAAGTAAGTAACATAATAGCCATCCTTTATGCTACATCGGATTTGAAATTCGCAGATATATATGCATAAAATGTTTAATATTACCGTTAAAGTTTCACTTTAATTTAGATTTGACTTTGTATTTTTTCACTTGAATTATTTATTAAGTTAGAACGTTTTTTGACATAGTTCTGTTTCCTGAATCCATATCATAATCAAAATAACGGCATACCTATAATCTAATTATTATAATACAATTTTTGTCATAATGTTTGAAAAAAAATCAGTTTGACTTAGTATCGGCTTTAAAGGTCCGTGTATATATGCGTCCATTCGTTTTCCATTTTGAAATATCAAAAACAAAAAACAAAATACGAGAGTGTTTTCATTTTTCGTTTTTGATTCCTCAAAAACCAAAACGGAAAACGAAAGTGTTTTTATTTTTCGTTTTTTATTTCTTTAAAACCAAAACGGAAAACGAAAGTGTTTTCATTTTTTGTTTTTGATTTCTCTAAAACCAAAATGAAAATCAAAAGTGTTTCCGTTTCTCGTTTTTGATTTCACTAAACAAGAATTTTGTATTCAATTCTAATTATTTCTCTTTTTATAATGTACAATGTTTTCCTTTCTTGTTTCACAGTCATTGATAGTAAATAATGCCAATGTAAACACCCCGGTGTTCTTTCAACATAATGTAGACAAAATAGACCGCCTGACTTATGAATTGAACTAGGTGATAAATGAATCAAAGCCTTTCAAATTACCTTGTTTATATCTTTAATAAAAAATAAATTATTATATTTAAATATTAAACGAATCATAAATTTAAATTGTACAATATAATATTATATATAGATGGTACAAATAAATAGATTGATTACAACATCACATTAACAAGGGAGGTTACTACTTTTAAAAACTTATAAGAAAACTACCCCGGTCGTTAAAGTATACATGCACAGTCACTGTAGTTATCAGATCTTTAATCGAAGATAATGTCGACGGATGCAAAAGACTTTATCAATCTGAACAATAAGGGTGCGTAATCTTTACTTTTAAATTTAGAAAGGTTGATCTCAGATGATTAGAATTCATGACCAAGGTCCATTATAGTCCAGTGGCGGATCCAGAGGGGGGCGTAGAGGGCGTACGCCCCACCCCTTTTGCTTGCACTTTTTTTTTTTTTTTTTTTGTAAAATGATTAATCAGACTAGACTTCGTGAACGTTGCCATTTCCCGCGTATTTAATTTTTATCGGCAACAATTCTTTACTTATAAAGATATGTTTCGCTCGTATTTACTGTAATATATTATTGAGTATGTCAAAATCATGTGATTCGCTACGGTGGAGTTGACCAGTGCGTCGAAAAAACGTCACTCAGTCATTTTGAAATTCAAATTACAGTAACACATTGCTTAGGCTGAGGATGACAAGCATGACATCTTCAAAGAGACAAAGGATTGAGCAAGAACGTATTTATTGACTTCTATTTCACAACTCCACCAAACAGAAAGTAATACTCTATTCCACTCTAATGAAAAAAAGTTCCACAGCAATATTATTTACCTACGAAAACATGTTTAACCCCACACGCCCCAGCCTATTAATAACATAGCTGAATAATGATCCCCAGTCAATAAGCTCTAGATAGATTTAAAGTCTAAGGTACGGACCATTTGATTTGAGGGGGCAGTCTGAGATATTTGAGAGAAAACATTCTGACCCTGATTTTTGCCTTAAACAAAAATTCTAGCCGTATCTGGATTGAAAACAATAATCTTGTCCACTTTTTTGCTATTAGAAACAAAAATTTCCAACAGAATTATTTAGCATTAAATGAACATGATGAATAAATAAACGGGCGTAATTTATTTGGGGCCGGGGGTTTGCATGTAAATCCCATATCTGACCGGAGCGTCTGTTTCGTCGAACTGATAAAATGAATACTTTTTTCAAGGCCCGACTGCAACCTGACTCGGGAGAATACGGCATCAAAAATGTCCAACCCTTACACTTTAACTATAAAATATACATGCCCCACGTCAGGAACCGTTAAAAAAGTGCATTTTACACATATTTTATGTTTTTTAGCCAAAAAAAGGTCAAAAAAAATTTTCGCCTCGCTCCGATCGCCAAACTTTTCATTGGAGGATCTAAGGGGCATCGAACGATATCCACGGAACTTTTCATGCTCCTCAAAATTAGTCTAATAATAAGTTAAATAACCGTCTAGGACTACCAATTTATATTTTGCTACAGAAAACAATCATCAGAAATGGTAGAAAAGTATATTTAACAGTTTATATAAACTCTTAAAACCATAAATTTAATATAACCAACCCGTTAACTAAACCAAAACAAACAACATGGCCGACAACAACTCATATGCCGGCGCTGTTTCAAAACCAGCAAATCAAAATCATGATAATCAAAATGAACATCTTGAAGAACTGTCGTCAGTAAAGCCCGTATTTATCCTTGAGACAGATTTATTCGGCAATTCAATACTTCAACAAAAAGACTTCTTAACACACGAAGAAGTATTCAAAAGTATCGGCACAGAGATACCAAGATACCAAATGAAGGGACTACAAAGAGTCAAGGGAATGTGGCACATTTACCTTGCACAAGAAGAAGCAAGAGACCACCTCCTCATATCTGGCGTATCTATACGTAATAAACTTTTAACAATCTATAATAAAAACCCAAGAATAACTGTAAATGACCAGCCAGAATATCTCAGAGTACGTGTCTCCAATATTCCATTATCAGCTGATGACGGTCAGATTTTCGGGTTCTTCCAGTCTATTGGCGTAGTTATAACAAGCTATTTCAGAGAGAGACTGAGAATAGATGGTTTTCTCACTGACTGCCAATCTGGAGACAGAATCTTCTATGTACAACCATTGGAAGGCACTTTGCCCAGATTCACAAAAATTGGAAAGTACAATGCCAAAATTTATTATAAAGGACAAATCTACATAAATCCTTACATAACTTGTCAGAAATGTCTGAAAAAGGGACACAAACAAGAAAAGTGCCAAAACAATTGGGTCTGTAACCAATGTGGAAAAGAAGGGCATAAAGCAAAAGAATGCCAAACTCCAACTCCAACTACAAAAGCATCAGACACTAAAGGGAATAACAATGATGATCAATCTGATTCAAGTGAAAGTGAAAGTGGGAATGAGACTGACATTGGTGATGATGTTGATCACAGTGAAATCCCACCTTCACAGTCCATATTGCAACCTACAGATGCAATAACAGAAACATCAACAGAAATCAGTGAAGTCACAAATAAAGAAACTGAGTCTGAACTACAGAAAAAGAAACAAAAGAAACAAAACAAAAAAGATAAAACAAAAAACAAGGCAAAATCAGAAGCAAAAGGTCCAATTGACAAATTTATTGTGAATTCTGAAATCAACACACCACTACAAAAACATGGAAAAAGAACAGCAACAACCCCAACCGATGAATACCACAATAGAGAAACTGACTCCAGCAAAGCTTCAAAGACATAGGTCTAAGAACAGTTACCATATATCATTTTCTTTCACATTTTCTACTGATCTCTAAATGATCAAAATGATATATACTTGTATAAACATCTGTAAATATTCCTATTTTATCTATAGCTATGAAAAACATAATAAAAAATATGTGGCAGTGTATGATACAATACCCTTAGATTGTATATACTCTGCACAATATCATTACAACAAATAACTTGTATATATAGATGTTTGTCAATATAGAATATATAGACCATGAATGAGATAATAAACTTTTCACATGAAATAACTAGTATAGTTATACATGAATATGTAATTATTTTGTTTTAATGTATAGAAAAATGTATATGTGCGTTTACGTCGTATAGCCCTATAAATATATTTACAATGTACTACAAAACACTTCTATAGCTATTTATATAGAATATGCAAATTAATCACATCGCTATCTCCACTCACCTGTGTAAAAAATGTAAACAAATCGTTTTGATCTATTTATACCTTTTTATCTATATAGATAATTATCAATATTTTATAGTAGCTGCGAAAATTTCAATATATAATCAAACAATATTTATTCATGGTACTAATGATTTCCTTGAATTGATAAATCTCCGTATTAGTAAAGACAACCCAAGTAAACCGAACAATCGTGTCTGTATATATATCATATACATGCGAAAGCATTTGAAAATAATCTTTCAGTTTATATGGAATTCTAATCTCGCTGTTATACTTTTTGAAAACCTTTTTAAAAGTATACAAATATTTATTTATAAACAAAGTACTTACCCATTTAGAAACATTTGTTATACATCCAACACAATTATATATTTCAATGTAAGGTATACCGGTTAATATAGTGTCGATGCTCGTGGAAATCAATTGTTATACATGTGAAGGTCGATATATTTTACCAGTCAATGATTCTAAATATAGAAACAGGTGAAAACCTATCAAAGTCGGTCAATATGGAATTAAATGTATGTGCGTACATGTATATTATATTGCAACTCACAGGGTGAAGGTTAACTCTGTCATTGATGATATATGTGTGTCATTTATTTTGTCTCTAATTTCTATAGTTGTAAATACCTGTATGTTTTATTTTTGTTTATTTATTTATCATCGAATACTTTTAAAAAACAATCAAGATGTCACTTAATCTATTACACATATGTTCTTTAAATTGTCAGGGGTTGAGAAAACATGAAAAAAGAATTAGACTAAAAGAATGGATGAGACAACAGAAATGCAATATTATATTTTTACAAGAAACTTATTTTTCGGATAATTCTATAGACAAAGAATTCACGGGAGAATTATATCATAGTTTTGGAAGTACACAAGCAAAGGGTGTTTCGATTTACATTAACAAAATAATTAAACATGAAATTATTGACAAATATGTAGATCAAGAGGGAAGAATTGTTTTAATCAACATAGAAATTGATAAAAATATATTTACTTTTGTTAACCTTTACGCCCCAAACACATGTAAAGAT